ATAGCTGCACACAAATCTGGCTCAGTCTGCTTCAGAGCAGCTCTTGGGCTGGACCCACATCAGCAGGAGCTGAGGGGCAGTTTCTCCAGCATGGCTGGATCAGGTGAGCTTGTTAGACAGCCCCCCTTCTCTTCCCCTGCCTTTTGCTCACGGTAAGGGACAGAAATCCAGCCACTCTTAAGACAGTACTTCCCATGCTGGAAAAATGAAGACATCAAAAATAAAACTTTCCAAAAAATAACCAGTCAATAGTGCTGTGACATTCTTTGTTCTGCGAAGAGGCTGTGTTTGTCTGTGCCCTCCACGGCTCCTCTGCTGAGCTGGGAGCTGAGGTCCGCACCCCCATGCCGCTGTGCTTCTTGGCAGGGTACAAAAGAGCCAAAAGAGCAGAAGTTGGTCTTGCAGAGCCGGGCTCCTCCCTCCTGAGCCTCCTTGCCACTGTAGCCTTGTTGGGGGTCCATGCTACAGGAGGTTGGCAGCCAAATTCCTAACTGAAGAGAGAGCAAAGGGATTAGAGTTGGCCTGCTAGAAGCAGTATGTGAGCTGCCCACCTGGAAGCTGCAATAGCAATGGAGCATCAGTTCCCTGTGGAAGGGCAGCAGCAGCAATAGTAAAGAGGACCCCATGGGAGCAGCTCCCTCTTTTCTTGAATCAAAAGAGCTACTATAAGGTCAGACCAATGGTCCACACCCAGCCCTGCATCCAGTCTCCAACAATGGCAGGAGTGGATGCTTTTGGGAGAGCATATGAACGAGGTACATCTAGAGTGAACTAGCCCTGTCCTACCCTTGCTGGCATCCACCATCATTGGTTTAGAAGTGCCAAAGGATACACCTGACTGTTCTATTTAGTAGTTAAATTCATGGATGATGGATCCATTAAATGTCCAGTCCCTTTTGAACCTGGCTATATTATCCACCTCTCTTCTTGGAGCAATGAATTCCACAAGTTAACTATGTGCTGCATAATAAAGTGTTTTAAGCCTGTCTTCTGCTGATTTCAGGGGTGCCCCTTCGTTCTAGTATTGTCAGACTTGGTGAATAACAGTTCCCCATTCACTTCGTCTACACCCTTCATAATTTTAAGACTTCATATTCCCCCTCAGCCTTCTCCTTTCTAAATTGAAGAATCCCAGCATCTTTAGTCTCTCCTGGTAAGGCAGGTACTCCATACCCTGATCAACTTGGCTGCCATTCTCTGTCCCTTTCCTAATTCTACTACATCAGGGACAGGCAATTATTCTGGGCAGAGGGCCACTTACTGAGTTTTGGCAAGCCATTGAGGGCTGCGTGACAGGCAGCCAGGAGAAGATAAAAATTAATTTTCTAGGGGACCCACAGGCCAGATAGAATGGCCCATGGACCACATCCAGCACCCCTGTACTACATCCTTTTTGATATGTGGAAATGAAAGCTACACGCACTATTCAAAATGTGGGCACACCATGGATTTGTATAGCGGAAAGATAATGTTCTCTGCTTTGTTTTCATTTCCTTTCTTAAATGATACCCAACGTTATTAGCTTTTCTGGTCACCACTGCAAATTCATTGATTCTATGAGTCGGAAGGGACCTAGAAAGATCGAGTCCAACCCCCCGCCACGGGCAGGAATGAGCACTGGGGGGTGGGAGGGGTCATAAGACCCCAGCCAGGTGCCTATCCAGTCTCCTCTTGAAGATTTCCAGGGAAGGTGAGAGCACCACCTCTCTGGGAAGCCTATTCCAGGCTCTGGCCACCCTTACAGTGAAGTAGTTCTTCCTAATATCCAACCTAAAAATATCCTCCCTCAGCTTGTGGCCATTGTTCCTGGTGACTCCAAGGGGGGCCCTGGTGAACAGACTTTCCCCAAGTCCCTGCTGGTGGCCCCTGATAAGGTTGTAGGCAGCCACAAGATCCCCCCTCAGTCTCCTCTTGCGGAGACTGAAGAGATTCAGGTCCCTCAGCCTCTCCTCATAGGGCTGGCCACGGAGGCCCTCAACCATACGAGTGGCCTCCTCTGGACCCTCTCCAGGTTCTCCACATCCCTCTTGAAGTGCAGTGCCCAGAACTGGACACAGTACTCCAGCTGCGGCCTGACCAGCACCGCACAGAGGGGGAGCAAGACCTGTCTGGACCTGTTAGTGATGCCCCTGTTGACGCATGACAACAGAGGGTGTGGTTGGCTCTGCTTATTGCTTCGTCGCATTGGCGACTCATATTCATTCTGGAGTCAATCCCGACTCCAAGATCCCTCTCTGCCTCTGTGCTGCCGAGA